AGAAGGGTGGGCTGTCAGCCATCATTTTTAGGTGGTTGTCGAGAGATACAGTAGCCTGGAGTCCAGCACAGGACACTCACTGAAGGCTGGTGCCCAGGGGAGTGGTACAGTGCTCCCTTTTCTCACACCTTCCTGCCCGGTGGCCAGTGGCACCCACTGCTGCTCTACCTCTGCTCTGCCTGGCATCAGTGTCAGGCTTATCAGCGCTGTGTCTGGAGGCACATGAAATCGCTTTTCTGTACCACCTGAACAATATAACCAGCGGCCAATATCAAACAGCAAACACTTTCGGTCTCTATCACACCCACTAGGAGACAGATGTTAAGTGCCTAAGAACACAACAACATACAATGGTCAATTAAGTATAAATATAACATTTCCACAATGTCTCAGAGGCAACAGACAATTTCAGTTTACAAGACAAAATGATTCAAACAAGTGACCAAAATACAAAGCCAGAGAATGTAATACCAGAAATGGTGTTAGAATTACTCATAAGGAACTCAAGAGAATGATATTTAGGTACTTTCAACCGAGTAAGAGATGGTGAAAGCTGTAGATGAAATCAAGGAAAACACGTACAAAACTTCAGAAGAATCCAGGAAAACACTACAAGAACCAACTAACAAAGTACACGAAAAATTTGAAACCATACAAAAACAGCAAATAGAAACTCAGAAGATTAATACTAAGATTTCAGAAATAGAGAGTACATTGAAAGGACAGGGAATAGAACGGAATCAGTGAAAGGCTGGATTAGTGAGCCTGAATACAGAACTCTCAATATTTATCTTCTAGAGCAGGGGCGGGGAACTTTTTCTTGCCAAAATTTGTAACATCATTCACAGTTCATGCAAAATTATCAACTTAAAAATTAGCCTGCTGAAACATTCACACACACACACACAGAGTGGACGGAGAAGGGCAGCTTGGACATTGGATACTCAAATGGGGAGGGGGGGACTACAAAGGCTAGAAGTGACTGGCTTACAAGCTTTCATGAGGGAACATGGTGCTAGGGAGCATGGCGGAAGGCAGAATCTCCAGTAGGTACTATTCAATCTGTCTGGGCAGAGCTGATGAAAGGAGATACAGATGAGTAACTCGTGATACTTTAGTGAATAATGCTTATCAGGACGGAATATGAGGGTTGGAAATGCAAAGGTAGAAGTTTTGTAACAAGGAAGGGGTGATTGATTCTCCAGGATAGGAGTGGAGGTCTCTGGGACCATCAATGGAGAAGAGCTGAGAGCGGGACCCTACCCAGAAAAACAGAGATGCCTGAGATGGAGACAGAGACGATGACATGGAGTGATGAACTGACTGGGGACCTTGGACCCAGAGAGGGAAAGGGACTGTGGGCCGAAAACTGAGGGGACGAGGGGGAAGTATAGGGAGCGGGTTTCTAGGATATACCCTTTGGGTGGTTGACGATGCATGGAGGGGATTGGAACCATGGCAGTGAGATGATATACGATGGAATGAATGTAAAAGTAAAGTTCTCCCATGTAAACTATCATATAATTCACAATAAAACATTAAAAAAAAAAAAATTAGCCTGCTATCTCTGGTCAAACATTTAATTACCTCACCCCTAAAGTGATGGCTAAGGAGTTCTGGTAGTGTAGTGGTTATGAGTCAGGCTGCTAATTTCAAGATCAGCAGTTCAAAACTACCAGTGGTTCTGCAAGAGAAAGATGAGGCTTTCTGCTCCTGTAAAGATTTACAGCCTCGGAAACCCCATAAAGGATAGTTATGAGTCAGAACAACTCAACAGCAAATAACCACCCACATCACCAACTTGATGGCTTGGAAGTACAGTTGCCTTGACAGTGATTTGGACGGCTTTAAGGAGCTCTGGTAGCATAGTTTGAAACTACCAGCTGTTCCGCAGGAGAAAGATGAGGCTTTCTGCTCCCATAAAGATTTACAGCCTCAGACACCCTGTACAGGGTCGCCATGAGTATGAACTGACTCCACGGCACATAACTACCACCACCATACAGCCCACGGGAAGATGTTCCTTCCCTACTCCTGTTCTAGAGGAAATATCCAAAACAAAGAACAAAAAAAATCTGAAGAATGCCTAGGAATTATGTGAGACACCATCAAGAGGAAAGGAAGGAGGGTGGGGGGGAATCCAGAGAGAAAACTGTTGAAGAGTTGTTGGAAGAAAACAACATCATGAAAGACAAGATACATGCATTCAAGTAGCTGAACAACCTTCAAACAGGATACAATTCCTAAAATAATCACCAAGACGCATTATAATCAAACTCTCTCAAATCAAAGATCAGGAAAGAATCCTGAGAGTAGCTCATGAAAAACTAAGGACAACTAGTAAAACTAAGCTCTGATTTCTCAACAGGCAAAAATACATGTACGTAAGAAATAACAGGATCGCATATAGAAAAATGTGAAAGAAAAAAATTGCCAACCAAGAATCATAGGGCCAGTAAATCTGTCCCTAAATATGATGGTGAAATGTGAACATTTCCAGATAAACAGAAATTAAAAGAATTTTTAAAAAACTAATCCTGGTGTGGCTCTGTTAGATTGCTAACCAAAAGGTTGGCATCAATTGCTCTTCAGTAAACCTACCCAGAGTTGCTACGAGTCCAAACTGACTCGACAGCACTTAGCAATAATAATAGACCAACCTTACGAAAATATTAAATGTGATTCTTCAGACAAGGAACCAACAATGCCAGACCACAACCTGAGATTAACATATATGTCAATATCACCAAAAATGCAACCCAGATATAGAAATAAATCTACAAGACTAAAAATAGAGAACCAGAGATATCAGTTTGCAACAAAAAACAAAATCACAAAGTAAAAAGAGGAAATACTATAGTTCCAAAAATTTCAAATACAGATGGAATCAAGTATATTTCAAGATAAAACAGATTGTTTTAAACTTGGGAAGAAATAATAACTTATAGGGTAACCTCAAAGAACATTAATAAACTGTTTTCTTAGAATAAAAACAAGAAAATTACAAAGATTTAGTAAACTTTAAAACAATAGTGATGAAAAAAATCTCTTTCACACACACACACACACACACACACACTCCACAAAATGAGCTCAGAAGAGAAACTTATGTGGAACAAAGAAACCAGCAGCACCACACACAAAAAAGTAATTTAAAATAACTACACACACTAAAATGATAGCAATTTACATCTATAAATAATTACACTGAATATAAAGAGATTAAGTACACCAACCATGAGAAAAAGAGTATCAGAACAGATAGGAAAACCAGACTCGTGATGTGCTGTCTATAAAAGAAACATAAACAGACTAAAAATCATTTCCAGTGCATAGTTAACAAAGAGGGACATTATATAATGATTAAAGGGTCAACTGAGCAATAGGGAATAACCATAATTGACACATATCTAATAGGGTAAAAATACAAAAATCTAACAGATTTGAAGAAAGAAATTGACATCTATACAATACAGCAGGACATTTTAATACACTTTTGATGAAAAACAGAACTAGAGAGAAACTCAACAATGACACAGATCTAAACAACACAATGAACCACCTTAAACTCATAAATATATACAGAACACTCCATCTAACAATTGCACAATGTACAATCTTTTCCAGTGCACATGACACATTCTACAGAACAGACCATATGTTGAACCACAAAACAAGTCTCAATAATTAAATGGGGAAAGAAAAAAAAAGGAAGGAAGAATTCCTCTAAGAAAACAATTAGAATACCCAATAGAAAATAGGCAAAAGACATAATAGATGTTTTTCAAACAGGTTCTTCAGATGTACATAAGCATATGAAAAATAAATAAAAATAAACCTTGCTATAACTCTAAAACTAAACCAATCACCACTCCTAGCTCTAGCCGAACTCCTGCCCATAATCCCAACCCTAACCCCCTAGTCTTAACCATAATCTTAACATGACATGAAGCTCTAGGTCTAACTCAGACCTAGTCAGAGTCCTAACCCTAAACTCCTTACTCTTAACCCTACTCCACAAAAAAAAAAAAAAAAAAAAAAAAAGAAGAAGAAGAAGAAAAAGGAGTTGCTTACTAGCGTAGAGCATTTCTACAGAGGAAGATGCATATAGAGGGAAAAGTACAAATTAAACCTTCTTGGCTCAATTGGGAGATCATGTTAGGGTTAAAAAGAGCAGGAGTAAGGCAAACCTATAATCTAGCATTTATCCTTAGCAACAAGACACCCAAAGTATAAAATTGAACTCATCTTCTAAATCAGAGGTGGGGAAGTTTTTTTCTCGAAAATTTATAACATCATTTACAGGTCATACTAAATTACCAATTTAAAAATTGGCCTGCTATATTTGGTCAACCATTTAATTAGCTCACCCCTAATGTGATGGCTGGACTCCTGGTGGGGTGTTGTAGGATCAGCACTGGACTGTGAACCATCAGCTGCTCCTTGGAAACCCTATACAGGGTCACTGTGAGTTGGAACCGACTTGAAGACACTTAACAACAACAAATATGTAATGGCTGGAATTGCAGTTGCCTTGGCAGGGCCAGGCCAAATGATTGCAGGGGCCTTAGAAAGCTGGTGGGTCGGATGTTCCCCACTCCTGCCCTAAGTGCTAAAGATGGTAAGTCTCTGTTGAATCTCACTTTCTGACTGTAAACTGAATTGCAACCTGTTAACATCTCTAAAAAAATCCCATATAGTCCTGAGTTCTGTGTGGCCACCGCAATGAATTATCAAACCCAGCTAAGTAGGCAGTACTGTTGGAGGAATGGTTGGTATTAAGACTTGAAGAGAAGGATGGACAGAGGAGGAATGTCTAACCTCAGTCTCACAAGAATCTACCTTGAGCTGATGCTGATGGTGATTCCTTTCCCCGCCTCCCTTGTGAAATTAGAGGAGCTCAGATGCCATCTCCCTACTGCCTCCATTTTTTTTTTTTTTTTTTTTAACAGTTTTTACTCTCCCAGACAGGTTAAACTACATTCTGGAATCACCTAGACTTCTTCCTTCTCTCTTGATTCATTATCAACCAGTGTGATGAAGGACTAGTGCCATTCACATCCATTCACTTCTCCTTTCTGGCTCAGGCATTCACACTCTCTAGAGGCCAGAGTCACAGAGGTTGAGTGTCTCCTAACTGCAGTTTCTTCCCAAGCAGGACTTGAAACCAGTTCATTCCAGTTTGACCCCCTGCTGAACCTTCCTGTGACCACCCCCAAATGTACTGATCAGAACCTACAATATATCACCTGGGAATCTAGTTAGAACGCAGATTCCAATTTAGTATATAAGGAGTAAATTTGCAAATTCTCAGCAGGGAGCAGAACCTGAAGGAACTGGTTTGAAGCCCTGCTTCCAACACATGGTCACCATCACATGATAAGTATCAAAATCCAACATGCTGTCATGTGGCAACCTTTTCCTCTCCGGATCAATCACACAACTATTATTTATATAAGAGTGAAGATGGAAATTAATTTGCTTTATAGGCAAAGTGCGCAAACATTTATGTAAATTAACGTATATTTTTAATTTTTTTTTGTTGTTTACAAAATTACTATAATCAATTATACTGGGCAAATTGCTAATGTGTTGGCTGTTACAGCAAGGACAGCAGCTCTCTTTCTATAAGGAGACTATGTAAAACCCACATAAATGAGTAATTCCATAAAAGCTAGCTGAGTAGAGTCACCAGAAAAAGGACTCATTTTGATGATCAAGACTATTTTCCGTAGCTGTTGAGTCGATTCCTACTCCTAGTAACCTGACAGGACAGAGTAGAATTGTCCCATCTGGCCAGGGTTTCCAAGGCTGTGGTATTTATGGGAGCAGAATACCACAGCTTTCTTCCATCAAGAGGCAGGTAGGTTCAAACTGCCAAACTTTCAGTTAGTAGCCGAGTGCTTAACCACTGCATCACCAGGACTCTAAATCAAGATTCAAGCAAGTACTAATTTCATATTCAAGATCTTGAAATAGTTAAAAACTGAAAGGGATTTTTTTTAAGTCTGAAAAATAAAATTGTGTGTGCATATGTCTGTCTGCAGACATATACAGATTACAGTGAGGTCTATGAGAAAGGGAGGGGATGGCAGCACACCAAGAAAAGAGAGAAACGATCGCATTTGTTTCTATTGTCCAGGATCCAATCAAACTTAATATTCACAGAGCAGGAACTTCATCCAAAAAGAAGGGAGGCTTCATAGATACGTTTAGCTGCAATTATAACTCAAAGTTCTTAAAAGATATTGCCAATAATCCTATGTTTCAGAAACAAGAAGGACCCCATTACCAACATGGGCAGAACATTCTAACAATAGAAAAAGGATAACTCTTTCTAGAATGTTTTCAAAGCCTAAATGCAAAGTACAAAGATTCTCATTATAGTTAAAAAGGGGGGAGGATAAATAGCCTGCAGACCCCAAAGATATGTTGTTCAGAATCATTCAAAAGCTGGCCTGCACTTCACCAACCTCCATCTTCACTTAAAAAATGACCTGTCAAATAAGAAAACTGATTTATCCATCGTTCTCCTAAAGCAGCTAGCATATTATCACCTCCATACCTAGGACAACATCAGGGCCTCTGTCTAGTCTCCTCTCACCCTTTAACTATTTATCTTTTCCATGTCCACTCAAGCTCCTCCTTTTCCTAAAACTCTCTTCCTGGGCCCAAGCCCTGGGAATATCCCCTTCCTCCAATGCTGGCACGCCTTTTTCTTGTATGTACATTTCACAACTAACTTATAATGCCTCAGTGTCTTCCTTCATTTTGAGGTCCTTGACCTTTCTCTCTCACCCGATTACAAAAATCTATCCTAGGCAGAAGACTGTACTTGAGATGCCTTGTATCCCTCAGGGCCTAGTAGAGTCTGAATAAATAGTCATTGTTTAAAATACATATCAGCCACAAAGGAGAAAGGAAAACTATCCCTTTGACAGCTGATTTATCAAGAGAAAAACAAATATTTAGCTGTTCAAACCAACTGGCAAGCAAAATTCAAGCGGCAGATGCTTTTCTTTGCTCCTTACGACATGTTTCAACAATACAAATTGCCAATGAGAAAGCAAATTCATTATTTCCAAAAGAGAAGTGAGGTTTACAAAGAGTGTTGTCACATAAAATCTCAGTTCCCCATACACTGAAGAGAACAGAGACATCAAGTCATTCCGTCTTACCTTTCAAGTAAGGAACACACACATACATATTTCACAGTTTTGCTGAAACATCCACTCCTTCTTAGATCTAAACATCTCTTTCAATGGATGTTACAAAGCTATTTGCTTACCTACAAGTGATCCTAACTATGCTGTTGGTAAGTACTGTCAAGTTGGTTCCAACTCATAGTGACCCTAAATTTTCCAAGGAGCGGTTGTTGAGTTTGAACCACTGACCTTGTGGTTCAAACCAACCTTGTGGCCCAGTGCTTATCCTACAACTCTAAGTAGTAGCAAAGGTCAGTTCTTTCAGGTAATTCATAACTACTAGAACCACCTTATGTATGTTCGTATAGTTTAAAGTCAAAAGTTTTATTTACTTACTATTTACAAGTAAAAATCTTCACCACACAAACACACACACAATATTTCCCCTTTTCCCCAACACACACATAAACACAGAGTCACTGGTATCCTTTGATAAGGGTTATTACATTTCTGCTTTTATGTGAGAGGAAAATAAACACTCTCATTGTTCTCAGAAAACTGTATCGTAAATCAGCTATCCTACTGTGCAATTAAATATCTTAATATAATCGCCTAAGACAAAGACAATGGTTTCCTAAACAAACATTCCCAGTATAAAGCGCCAAATGAATTAGTACTCTTTAGCTTGTAGGAAACAGAAACGGCACATGAAACAGAATAGGCAAAAGCAAGGTGGGGCGCACTGACTATAATAACCCAGCTGGATTTTTAAGATCAACTCAAAATAAAACATAACGAAACAGAACTCCACCAGGACAAAACTGTCAGCGCTCATCTTTACTCCTATAGGTTGGCCTTGTTTTTCCTTCCTGAAGTCTGCCCTCTTCCACTTAACTCCCAGCATTGTAATATACTTGTAATATAGAAAATTCTCAAGTAAGACTCACATTGGTTCAGATCGGGTGGCTAGGGTCTCATGACTGGCAGGCCACTAGTAGAACCACCTAGTTGGATTAGCAGGCAGTGAAGTAAGTTGTCCAGAAAAAGGTGGTCTGCTTCCCAGAAGGGAACAGAAGGTTTGTCTCTCTGCACCCAAAACATTACTACCTGTCAACAAATTACTTTTTTTTTTTTTTTTTTTTTTTTTATCTCTAATGGGAAAGCTTAGAGCAGTCTTCAACTCCATTCTGAAAGTTTACTTATTTTGTCTAAGTCAATGCACTCCTTACCTGGCACTTGAAATTCACTAGAGACAAAATGCTATAAATAGAGGTTGGCTTCTCTGGCCAGTCCTTAAAAGTCCATTTAACTCAGCAGTGTATCTGAAGTATATTATTATTAATATACATACAATGATGTTAAAATACATGCTACCCAAGAATATAGTATTGTTGTTGTTGTTGTCAGGTGCCATCGAGTTGGAACCATATCATAGTGACCCCATGCACAGCAGAACGAAACAATGTCCAATCCTGGGCCAAAGAATATATTATCAGAATTTTCAATAATACTTCAAATAATATTACTAGACTAAATATTATCAATAATATTCCTAATACTATACTCAACCCCATTATAACATTGCTCCTACAGAAAGATGTATTTGAAATTCTACTGAGGAAGTCTAAAACATGCTCCATTCCTAGTAATGACAGTATCTTTCAATTCATACATATGCTCTCATATTTAATTCATATACACCACAGCAAAGCAGGTGCTAATTAACTCCACTAAACCCACAAAGAAACTCAGTATGATTAAGGTCAAATGGCAACTTTCGAAACCATGTATGTTTGACTCCAAAGCTGGAATTCTAATACACATAACAGTCCCACAGGGTTGGGCTTACAGGGGAGGAGAAAGAGAGCTAACCTTTCTGACTTTGTTAATAACGACATTTCTCTACAGAGACAAGCAGGGACTAGTACGCTGTCATAGTCAATGAGCAGATTTTGTCTTTCTACATCCTATTAGGAGAAGGATGCACTTAGCTGTATAAACAGTTAGCTGTGTTTCACACCTTCAAATGGATTTGAAGCATGCAACAGAATATACTTAACATATTTAAATCATGAAACATATTTTTAAAGCCAACACCACTCAACCTAAGAAACAGACCATTGCCAATCAACTACAACAGCTTCCCTTGTCTGACTGAGGCTTACAGCCATTTCTTTTTGGAAATCTTGGACCAAAAAGTTTGAGAGCCATTGGTCCAAAATGTGATTAAAAAAAAAAAGAAGAAGAACCATGCGCCTTTTGAAAGCAGACTGGAGAGGTCCTCTAAAGCAATGAGCTTTTTAAAAATAAAAATAAGCTGAATTTAATCATAAAAGAAGGTAACAGCTAACTTGTGCATTTGTCTTAACAGAGAAATGATCAGTCAGAGAGACCTCTATGAACCATATATGTCTGACTCCAAAGCTGGAATCCTAATACACATAACAGTCACATAGGGTTGGGATTTTGGTTTCAAGGTCAAAGTCAAAACTACTCACAAGGAATATGAAAGTAAACTAGATTTCCTTGACACATGGCCGCTCATTAGAAATGTGACTGGAAATTACGATTGGTAAACTCAAAATCCTCCCAAATTAAAGTGAGTTATTCCTAAAGTGTAGTGGTTACAAATCGGGCTGCTAACCTCATGGTCAGCAGTTCGAAGCTACCAGCTATTCCACGGGAGAAAGATGAGGCTTTCTGCTCCCATAGAGATTTACAGCCTCGGAAACCCTGTACAGTGTTCTCTATGAGCCGGAACCAACTCCACGGCATTTAACAACAATTCCTAAACAAGACTAGGAAGAAAGTTCTTGTGAATTACTTCAGAGAGTCAATCCTGAAACCCCTATGGACAGAGTAAT